ATGGCAGCCCACTGCAGCCCCACTGCAACCTATGCCATCGCTGGCGACTCATGGCAGCCCAGCTCCAGGTTCAGCTGTTGTTCACCATCTTAGCTGTAGAGGGCACAGCATCACCGGCCTATGTAGGATCCAAACCAGCGGTCCTGCTGCTCACAGCTAGTGCTCCCAAGCCAACTTTTAACCAACAAGCCACTAGGCCGGCCCCATCTCCCTTTCCCATTTTTGTCAAACACCTGTTCCTCCTCCATATTAGTTAAAGGCACCACCATCCACCTATTTGTCCAAATAAGACTTGCACTTGCCTCACCTCTTCCCCCTTTACCGCCCTACATTACTCTCACATCTGTCTTCTCATCTCCTTCCCCATTGCCTATAGGTAACCCAGGGCCTCATCATGTCTTGTCTGCTGCATTCCAACAGCCTCCTAACAGGACCCCCTACCTCCAGTATCTCCATCATTACTCCCTTTCCAACTTTCAGTTTCCAGAATGAGCTTTCTAAGACACAAATGTAATTATGTTACTCTCCTGCTCCAGAATATTCCTTGGCCCCCATTGCCCTTGGAATAAGTCCAAACACCTTCACCTAGGAAGATTCAAGTCCCTGTCAAACTGTCCTTAAAGACAGTGTGACTTGTCCAAAGGCTTGCTCTCCCAACTGTTCAAGGGGTGAATTCATAGCACTTGAAAAAAAACTTTGTCCTTGAGTGACTAAGAAGGGACAAGCTTTATCTGAGGTGGATCTTCCTAGCACAGACTTTTTAAGCTAAATATGGCCTTAGAGATTTGCAAAGCGCTTGTGACTTCAACATTGAGCAGCAGTGGGTAAATGAATCCTGGGTTTTTATTAGAAGGGTCTATACCTGCTGGGTAAGAGATCTGCTTTGTTTCTCCCATTCTTCAGGATCTCCTCAAGAAAAAGAGGTGCTGGAGAGAGTCCAGAAAGACAGATTGGAACATAAGAAAGACAATGGAATCCATCCTCCCAGTCTCGAGACTGCCGATCCTCTGTACCTGTTCTTGGAATCACCCAGCTCCCTACCCCTGAGAGGGGATGTGAAGCTCTCTGTAACCCTTGTTAACCCCAGTGACCAGGAGAAGGAGGTGCAGCTGGCAATTGGGGTACAGGCCATGTACTACAATGGCATCCTTGCTGCTGAGCTCTGGAGGAAGAAAATGTTCCTTACACTCAGTGCCAACCTGGGTAACTCTCTATGGCCCCACCAGAGGTCCACACACCCAGCTCCCACCCTGGGCACACAGCAGCAATAGGGCTCCCCTTGCAGGTCTGAAGAGGTGGCTTCTAGGCCCTGGTGTTCTCTCTCTCTCTCCCTCAACATATATTTATTGCACTTCGCACAGAAAAAACCCCAAAACACCCCACAATTCCAATTGCAGTAAAATAAGTAAACAGACCATAGCAGCAGTGTAAGAAATGTTTGATAAGATAAACAGAGTACAATGGTAAGGGAACATCATCCCCATGCTTGGTTCAGACAGCACTGGTTCTTAACGGATGAATAGGACAGTGATGGACAGAAGAGTGAGTCGTGAGCATTCCAGGCAGAAGGAACAAGTGTACAGGTTCCTCCTCCCAGAAATTCTTATTTTATTGGTCTGGGATGGGGTCCAGGCACTGGTATTTTTTTCAAGCTCCCTGTTATTTTAGGGTTGCAAGTTCTTGGACAAGAGCAGAACAAAGTTGTTGTTGAACTTTTTGCTGCAATCAGAATCACCTAGGGAAATTTGGTGCTCAGCCTGCACCCCAGACCAACTAAATCAGAAATTCCATGGTTGAAGCAAATATCAAAAAAATTTTAATTCCTTGGGTGGTTCCAACATGCAGGCAAGAGAGAATAGTGGAATAGAGCTTGCCTACATTATTGCAAAAGGCTCCTAACCAACCCCCCGTCGCCCACTGCCTCCAGCCTCTCCACCATATTCCCTTTCCAAGGGGTTGGGAGGAGTGGTGTGTGAGCTGGATGGGCCAGATCATGCAGGAGCTTGTATATCATGCTAAGCAGTTTGAGTTTTATTCTTTGGGCAATGAGGAGCTGGTGAAAATTTTTAACGAGAGAGTCAATGTGATCAGAAATTCATTGAAAATAAAAACTTTTGGTAGAATGGAATGAAAGGGGTCATGCTAGAGTGGTGGTTCTCAACATTAACTGCACACTGAATCACCTGGAGAATTTAAAAAATACAGTAATACCTTGATTTGCGAGCATAATTTGTTCCAGAAACAAATTAATCATATTTTAAGACATCACTCGTTTACCACGTTAAAATGTATTAGAAATGTTTGCTCGTCCTGCGGAACACTCGCAAATCACGTTACTCTCAATCCAAGGTTTTACTGTGCTGACACTGGGGCTTCATCTTCCTGGCTTCAGTGAGATCCTGACTCCTTTGCATTGTGTGTGTAACTATTGCTTGTTTCCGGGGCATGCACACTCAGCCTTTTGCACTGACTCCACCCGTCATGTTTCAGTTAGGAAGATCACCACTGGCCTGTCCTCCTCCAATTTTGAGCGAAGCCCACCTGAGAACAGCTTCCTCAGACTCACCGCCATGGCAACGCACTCCAAGTCCAGCCTCAGCTGCTTTGCTCAGGAAGATATCGCCATTTGTAGACCATGCCTTGCCATCGAGGTAGGCACCAGTCCTCCCCCAAATTGCCCTCGTTTGCTACTACTCAGGTCTCCATTTCAGAAGGAATCAGAGATTCCTTCAAAGCTTCAGAGCAGGTGGCTGTGCTGCAGGATTGCCAGAAAATGCTAGGTTGAGAGCTCCTTTTCTTGAAAGATGGTTTTTTACATGTGCTATTCAGGTTCAAATCTTCCAACTTTAGTTGGTTAAATAAAGGTTTCTAAAATTGGGGACTTCCCAGTTGCTGCCTCCATATTTATAGAGATAATAGCCTATGTTTATTTAGCACTTTATACATAGGCCAAAATGTTTTCACCTTCTTTATTTCTTTTAATACAAAAGCCTTGTGAGGTGGAACTGTTCCCATTATTTAGATGAGGCAACAGTCCTAGAGAACAACATGCCCAAGATCATAAAAATGGGACATTTTTAGTGTTACGGCTCTTGGTCCAGTACTCTTTCTACATGTCTAACCTGGCCAAAAGGAATGCGATTTGGTCCCTGCCCTCGAGGAGTTTATAGCTGGGTAAGGGAGACCCAACGTTTGGTCTTCTATGTAAGTGCTTTAATAGAGGTACAAAGTCACTATGGGATAAGCGAAGCAAAGGGGTTAATTCTATCTGGTGGGTTTCAGGAAGACTTCATGGAGGAGGTGGCATTTATACTGGACCTTGAAAAATGGATAAGCTTTCAGCACAGAGGTCGGGGAAGGCCAAGGCAGGCAGAAGACTGAGCTAAGAGGCCCAAAGGAAGGGAACCTGAGGCGTGTCCTGGGGATGGGAAAGGACCCGATGTGGCTTGGATGTTGTTTATTCAAGGGAAGAATAGATGAGGTTGGAGAGGTGGGTTGGAGTCAGACCATGAGGGCTCTGAATGCCAACTGAAGCTGAATTCCAGACATAATGGGAAACCCCCCAAGGTCTCTACGTGGAGGAGAGGCACCATCAGAGATCATCAGTGATGGTCAAGGGTGAAGAGTAAATGCAGGAAGACCAGGTAGAGGGGTAAAAAGTCAGCTGTGGTGTTTGGGTCAGGACGTCAGAGGTGGGAGAGTAACTGAGGAGGGTATGGGGAGGGTTCCCAGGAGGGGAAGGAGAGACTGTGGCTCTGTGCTCTTGGACTTTGCATCAAGTTTTGCCTCTTCCCTCAGATACCAGAGGTAGCAGAGCAATATCAACATCTTAAGGCCTCGGTCAGCATCTATAACTCCCTAAATGTTCCCATGGAGGATTGTGTGTTCTCCATCTTTGGAAGGGGGCTCATTCACAGAGAGAGGAACTACAGGTAAGAGACCACAAGCTTCTCACCCCTCAGACACATCTCAACTGGTCGGAAAGGCAGGAATGCAAGATTAATGATTGTCCTTTTGCTATGTCCATAGAGACAGAGCAAATACACTCTGAAGTACGGGATTAGAGCCTCTCTCATCCTAGGGTCACCATGTGTATAGGGGGACAGGAGTGAGGGTGGCTGTGTGCTCCTTGAGCACCCATCTAACCCTGGTTGCTGCCCTGATCATGCAAGAGCATGGGTATTGCTGGTGAATGCAGGTGAGAGGGTTAGGGCTAGGTACATGAGAATATTACAGGGAGGGTAGGCTGCCTCTCAAAAGCTGCATTCTACTAATGCCCACCACAATATTGAATTTTGTTTATATATTTGCTTTTATTCCTACTCCCATTCCCACCTCCCTTCATATCCTTTTGTTAGTATGTGTAAAATGTGTACTGTTGCTTCATGAACCTGTATTTTTAACTTATATAAATGATATTCTTTTTCTTACTTTTCACTGAGATCTGTTTTTAAGATTCATCCACATATATCAAGTCCATTGTTTCTGCTACATAATAGCCCATGGTGCCCATCCCCCACTTCCTTCACAGTGATGGGCACCCAGAGTGCCTCCAACTCTCTGAAACCACAAATACTGTCACAATGAACATCACCACACATGTCCCCTTATACACTTGTTTGAAACTTTGGTGGTGGAGGAAGGGATATACATGGCCAGGAATGGAATTGCTGAGTCATAGGATATGAGTTGGTTTGACCAGGTACTATCAGATTTGTTTGCAGAAGGGCTGCTGGAGCCTGTACTCCCTCCAGCAGTACATGACAGTTTCTATATTCCTACTATTCCTCTACTCTTGGCAACCAGCTTTCTCTTTCTTCCAGTCCAATAGTAATAAGGTAATATCTCATTATTGTTTTAATTTGCAACTCCTTATATGCTTATTAGTCTTTTCCATTTCCTCCTCTGTAAAGTTCTTTGCCCACTTTTCTTTTGGTGTTCCTGCTTTTCTTCCTTGATTTGTAGGAGTTCCCTGTATAGTCTAGGTATTAATCTCCTGTTGGTGTTAGATGTTGCAAGTATCTTCTTTCATTCTCTCTCCTTTCATTATGTCCACTGCATCCTTCGCTGAATATGAGTTGTGATCAAACAATACAGTGAATGAGTAAATAAAAAAATTATTACAGTAAAAGACACATTGCCATTAATCCCCCTCACTTTAAACACATTTATCCCATCACTCTTGCCACTTTCTGAAGCATTCTGGAAGTCCTCTTTCATGAGTGTCTTTAGTTGCACTGTCGTGGCTGCCTCAGTGTCCTGAATCATTTTGATTTGGGGGAAGAGCCAGAAGTCGCAAGGTGCCAGATCTGGTGAATAAGGTGGCTGAGGACAAACCCAATATTTTTATTTGACAGAAATTGCCGTATACCAGAAGTGATGTGTGACACAGAGCATTTTGTCATGATGGAGGATGATTTATGGCACACTTTAAAACACATCTTCTCTCAATCGTAGCTCACATCCAACTGACTGCATTGAATAAGTTCAAACTTGTCACACACTGTTACTAAGGTTCGATGCACCACTTCCCATATTGAAGATCCCTGCCTTTCCACTGGATGGCACTCAGCAGCAGCATTCACTGTATTTTGTGATCACAACTGAAAGACTCCATATCACACACTGCTTCTGGTATATGGCAATTTCTGTCAAATAAAAACGTTATGGTGTGTCCTCAGCCACCTTACTCACCAGGTTTGGCACTGTGTGACTTCTGGCCCTTCCCCAAAGTCAAAATGACCATGAAAGGTAAATGTTTTGAATTGATTCAGGACATCAAGGCAGCCGCGACAATACAACTAAAGACACTTATGAAAGAGGACTTCCAGAACTGCTTCAGAAAGTGGCAAGAATGGTGGAATGTGTTTGAAACAAGGGGAAGTATTTTGAGGGAGGATTAATGGCAATACCTTTTACTGTAATATATTTTTTTTTATTTAAACATTCGCCATATTGTTTGATCACACCCCTCGTACACAGAATAGTTTAGAGTTCACAACGACTACTCCTACCATCCCTGAGGTCCCTGACAGGTTGTCTGGTTATTAACAGACACTGCCTCAGCCTCATGAAACTCAATGAGTCATCTTGCCAATAAGTTGAGAGGAGGGACTGCCAATATTTAACCAGACTTTTGTGGTCTCCCGGATCAATTGTGGACCAAAGCTCCTCAAAGGAAATCTGCACCATTCCCTCAGTCACCATAAGAAGGTCCACAGGCAGGCCTGGAGGCTGCTGATAGGCTCCAAACACCACCTGTTGACATATTGACAGCTCAATATGCCTGCCATACCAACTGCATTTAGCAATGTGAGGGTTCCAAAACTATATAGCCTTTCCAAACATACCCCAATACTGTTACCAAGAGTGGGACCAGACTGACGTCACAGGTGATAAAAGAAACAGATGCAATGTGGAAGCCCTTGGCATAGGACTTCTCTTCTCAGCCATGCAATTGTTCACCGTAGGAAGGCTCCTGTCTTCTATCCCCTTAAAACATCCTCTGTTTCAACAGCAAAGTGTTTATTTCATCACAGCCTACTTCTTCAAGTAGGGAAGTCACTGGGACCAGCCACGCAATGAACCTGGGACAGAACTAACACCTGCCTTTCTTTATTTCAGGGTAGCTCCAGTGCAGCCCGGAAATACCTTGAGCACCCAATTCCCGTTCACGCCGACAAAGGTGGGGCTCAAGCAACTCACTGTGGAGATCGACTGCAACATGTTCCAGAACCTAACCAGTTACAGAAGTGTAACTGTGGTAGCCCCTGAACTTGCAGATTAAACTACCAGCTCTACTGTATTACTCGCCCCAAACACCCCCCCGAATCTATAATCTAAAACCAAATGTGTTGGAAAAGGGAAACTTTGCTTATCAGACGAGTGAATCTCCATTCAGGTTGAGCAGAAAGATAACTCAGAACAAAACTAGATTCCCAGAAACCACTAGAAAAGACATTCATTTTTGTCACCCCAGCATAAGCAGCTGTGAAGACTAGTTGTCTTAGAATAAAAACTGCTGGGCTTGAGTGATACAAGGAAGCCTTTGAAAAGGTACTCAGATAAGTACATTCATATTTTTCTGGTTCAGGATTTTTCCTAACCATTTTACTGCTCACTAACACATTTATTAACTCATAGGTAAGGAAAAGAACCTAACATTTAAATAATTCTTATGTTTCTGATGAAGTGGGACAATATTTGCTAAAAATGGAATATTTAGATAATCCATAATAAGATTACACTGATTTGTGCTATCCTTGACCATTAATCTTAAAGATCCAAAAATGACTGAACAAAGTTATAAAATATCCAATATAGGACCTGAGAGTAGAATGATCTTCTAGATTCAGCTATAGATAAGCTTTTGTGAGAGTTCTGTATTAATTAAGTATCCCACAATGAATGTCTGATGTTAATGACATGAGTTTGGGTTAGTAGGGAAATGTGAAAATTATTAAGTATATAGAAAATAGGCCCTATAAGAAAAAATAGAAGAACTGGACTGCTTTTGTACAAAGTTATGATTTCTTTTGTTGTTTACATTATTTTGTTGCTTTGGCAGTCTCTCAGCTTGATTTTAGTTCCTTCTCTTTAAGATAATTGTTAAAAATACAGAATGACACTTTATAAAGGTAAATTAGAACTCTTCACTTAGGAATTTCAACCCCAAGTATACACTAGTTGCTCAAAAGAATGGCTGCTGTTGCTGAGTATACCTACAGAGAACATGGGGACATCAGAAGGGCAGATGTGATCAATTACACCTATACAAAGAAAAGGACTGACATTAGAGGTTGTGGAGACCTGCAATTCATACATAAGGCCCAAGTCAGGTCGCCAGAATATACATCACTACAGGTTTACCTTGTTTCCAATACACAGTTTTCCAGGCTGATACAAAAATATAATTATGTGGAGATGGTTTTGCAGAAGGATTAACTGAAGAGGCCCTTAAAATTATATAAACTTGGGCC